CTCTTGCACACCTACAAGGCATGTGTCTAGGCGTTACTAAATCCTCGTCAAACCAACGCCATTATGGCAACAGAAAGGAAAATTCTTGTTTTTCTTTATTTTATAAAATACCGTTTGAATTATTCGGCCCATTTATTGATTTATTATTAAGGATTTAATGAAATAAATAATTAAATGATGTTTTAATTGTATCTTTTCCATTACCTTTCATAGACTGAAAGAACGACGTAGGTGTACAATTAAACAGCAAAGATTTAAAAGATCGTTTTCTCCAGAATTTCATTTCCTGTTCAGGCATTTAGCTGGCTAATTACCATTCTGGTAATGAGAGAATGTCCTTCTTTCGTAAATACCAAAAACGGGTAGAATGGAATATAATTAAATGAGGTTGACAGTTCTACGGAGCCGCATTAATCAAATTAGAGCAATTAACTTGGGAGATCTGTGTTTCTGAATTTTGTAGTCGATAGGCAAAAGATGTAAAGCTGAATTTTGTGACAGTGATGAATTTACGTTGCTCTTTCATATCGAAAATGATATTATATTGGGTAGTTTTTTAATAAATGATATTTTGCATGAAAGCTATCTCTGTCAGCCTTATATAAATTTAAATCGCAGAATTATAATTGAAAACTTTAATCTGGCATATAAAGGTTTTTGCTATACATCTATGCTACACCGGTTTATAATTTTTCAGGCTGTAACTTCCCTGTGAACTATTATGCACTTCTTACGGCACGTTCGACAGACACTTTAAAACAATATACACAATTATTATTATTATTCACAAGTAAACTTTTTTCTTGTTACTGCAGGCTATGGCCTCTCCACTTTCAACCCACTCGTTCCACTTTTCAGAACACACTGTCGCTATCATACCAGCAGAACTCCCTCGACGTCTCTCAGGTTGCAGTCTTTTACTTTTGACCAATCATCACTTAACATCATTTACACCACGCCAGTATTTTCAATCACATTTCAACTTATTTGGTAGACAACTTTTTAGATCAAATTATATCATTAGAAATTTCCAATTCTCATAAACAAATCGTTTTCGTGTATATCCTTATCAAATAAAAGAATGTATAAATCGATATGGTAAATATATATATATATATATATATATATATATATATATATATATATATATATATATATATATATATATACAGATTGAACCAAATTAAAACGGAACATACAATTTAATACATGTCTGTTTGAACTGCATTTGAAATAGTGGACCAATATAAAACTTGGACAAAAATAAATCCATACCTGGGTATAGACATTGTATAAAATATCGTTCAACTATCTGTCTCGCAACAAAGTTGTTTGCGTAAGACGGGTTTGTCTAAGGAAGCGATAATAGTTCAGGAAATGAAGCTCGAAAAAAGTTAAAACCTCGCAATTTTTTCGTCCTGCATGTATCCAGTTGAAATTTTAACAGAAGGTAGGTGATAGCCCAAGGATCAAAATCTATATCGAAACCGAAGTGCGCTGAAGGGTTTTAGGGGTGAAAACTACCCCTAATTGTCAAAAATTATAAAATAACATATTAAACCTGAATATGGGTAAGATTTGGTTTGAATTAGTTAAATAATGATTATTTTATACTTTTGAATAGAGTTCCATCATATTTCAACCCTTAAAAAGCAACCCTTGTTAGAGATTAATGTAAAAAAATTACTAATTCTAAAAAAATGATTTCGCCTTGGATCGATTTGGATAAAAATTTGGATTTAAGCTCAATTCACCCGCTGCTTTATAGTTTATGTCATGTCGACGAACCCTGATTGTTCTTAGGGGTGAAAACTACCCCTAATTGTCAAAAATTATAAAATAACATATTAAACCTGAATATGGGTAAAATTTGGTTTGAATTAATTAAATAATGATAGTTTCGTGCTTTTGAATAAAGTTCCATCATATTTCAACCCTTAAAAAGCGACCCTTATTAGAGATTAATATAAAAAAATTAGTAATGCGAAGAAAATGATTTCACCTTGGAACGATTTGCATAAAAATTTGGAATTAAGCTCAACTCACCCTCTGCTTTATAGTTTATGTCATGCCGATGAACCCTGATTGTTCTTAGGGGTGAAAACTACCCCTAATTTTCAAAAATTGTAAAATAATATTACAAATCTTAAGATGAGTGAAATTTGGTTTGGATTAGTTAAATAGTGATTTTTTTATACTTTAAAATACAAATTCATACATTTTCAACCCTTAAAAATCAATTGTTATGAGTGCTATAGGTGAAAAACAATTTTTTGCCAAAATTTTGCAACTTTTCAACTTTTGAAAATCACCCTTTACAACATTGCAGTTTTTATAAACTAATTTATAAGATATAAATTGAAAAAAGTAGAATTAAATACAAAAAAATTTATCAACATAAAAAGGCACCATATATTCTTATACATTTACATAAATAGTTGAAAATATTTACATTTATAGGTAAAACAATTATAATATTAATTTTATTCGTCATCAATTACATCTTCATCGTGATCTATGTCATCCTCATCTTCTTCAATTATTGGTGGACTGTTATTGCACCCTTCACCTGAGCACCCAGAACAAGTAGAGTTACAGTATAAACCAACTTTTCTGCACCCACATGAAACGCCGCATCCTTTTTTGCATTGGCAAAAAATAATTTTCAAAAGTTCATCGGGTGCAGGTTGTTTGTTCATGCGTACGGGTAATAACAAACCATCTTTGGAATACCATCCCCAATCTGTTGCTCTGATATTTTCATTGCCAAGCCATAGACATATGAGCAGATGTTTTATTCTGTTGTATGGGATTTCAAAATAAGAACGCTTAAAATTTCGAATGTATAACGCCCCACTAGCTAATATACCGGTTTTGTAGATTATTATGCTCCGAAATGTACTGTACTATACTAATGGAATTTTCCGGAAAAAAAATTAACTGGTTTTTTTAACGTATTTCCTTTAATTTTTAACGATAGAGTGTTTCTTCAAAAACGATTTGTAGAGGTTTTTAAGAGCTACAAGGATCTGTGAATTAAATCTTTTTGGAACCCTTGGTTTTTAAATGTGGTGAGTTTAAAGGGCTCGAAAAAGATGGTGCTTGATCGTAAATCGATGCTTTAAACGGCTATATCTCGCCAAATATTCATTGTACAACAAATCTAAATAAAGGATAATTTTAGTCATTAAAAAAGCTACAATTTGGTAATTTTTATTTTTTTCATATATTCAGTATTTTCGGGCATATTTAAAAAAGAAGGGTAAAAAATATGAAATTGTAAATCGTTTCTCGCTTTAAGCTGTACTTTTTCTAAAACTAAGCATTTTAAATGGGTCAAACTTCTTGGACGTATTAACAATACATGTACAAAGGGAATTGCAGAAGGGTGAAGATCGATTTTAATTATGGGGGTGGTTAGGGGGTTGTTTTCATCGATTTTTTCGTAAAAAATGAGGTATTGACCTTATTTTCATCATAACTCACTCAATTTTTGAGCTAGAGTCTTTTTTTATGATAGGTCTATTTATGCTCTTTAAAAAAGGTTTTGTGAGTTTTCTTCCAAAAATGCATCATTTTCCCGATATTTGACTTTGAATCTTTCAAATTTGGCATTTGAAGAAAACCGCTGAACATTGATAGGCGTATTTCGGTTCCTATTATATCGCAAAAACATTTTAAAAAATGAATTGTATTTGTCTTTTTAAAAGCTACAAATTTGTTCTCTACAATTTTTTTGATAAAATGCACCATTTTCGAGTTATTCGCGAAAAATCGATTAAAAACGTGGATTTTTTCGTCTAAAAGTTGTTACTTTCAATCGCGAATAACTTGAAAAATATCATTTTATAAAAAAAATGTATAGCACATTTTTTGTTTAGAATCACTTTTTTAATCGAAACCTGTAGTTAAAACGTAAAAAAAAATTTCACCCCGGAGATGGGGTGGCAACCACCCCTAGGCTTTGGCGCACTTTGGTTCGATATAGATTTTGATCCTTAGGCTATTACCTACCTTCTGTTAAATTTCAAGTCAATCACGCAGCACGAAAAAATTGCGAGGTGAAATGCTTCATTTCCTGGACTATAACTGGTTTGACAGCATAATAAAATCGTAGATTTATGTGTAGCTTTCAATTTTTATGAGTTCAGAATCCAGCAGCCCGCTGAAGTATGGGATTTTTATAATATAATTATTTGACAATCTTTTGTTGGCCAACCACCTACAGCAGAATTGAGCCGAAATACATTATATTCCTATGTTCCGAATTTATTTCGTTCAATCTGTATATATATATATATATATATATAAGTAAGAAAAAAAAGTACTTGTGACTCGTTTTGGAAAAAATATAAAACTGTTTTGGATGGGTTGGAGTCAATGAAAGGGGCTATTTGTTAACTATTTTTTACTCGAGCTTTCAATTGTGATTACAATTATTATCAAGAGCTTCTAAAAAATACAAAATATCTTACAAAGTTGAACTAGAAATAAAAAATTTTAAATTTTGTATAACTCACCAAGTATAATTAGTTTTTTATATAAAGCTGCTGCTACATTATTACAAAAAATATTAATAAAAAAATGTCCTATTCTAATAAATGCTTCTCTGAAATAAATTTTGATAAAGTTTCTTAACAAAAACAATTGAAATTTGTAAACAAAAATTGAATAGCTACAAATCAGCTTAAATGTCATAAATACAAATAATTGGTATTTATACTGGTATATACTTTATTTATTGGAATATATATATATATATATATATATATATATATATATATATATATATAAATCTCCACGTCCACTATAAAAACCATTATTAACTCTTTGTCACTGTCAAGACACAAAGAGGCTCTCTATCCCCAATTCCCTAACATACTCCGCAGAACTAAGATTTACGGCTAAAAATGAATCTCAGTTACCGAAAAAGGGGATCTCCTTTTTGTCCAGCCCTACATTGCGGAAGTAAACTCGAGTCTCATAAACTTTTTTGTTGTAGGCCTGCTCTCCTGGGACCTTAACGAATGCTTGGTGGACTTGGAAAAGGAGCTGGCCATTATCACGGAGCAAGCTTTAGAAGGGGAAGAGGCTAGATATGGTGAGTAATATTTTTAGTTGATATACAATAATCTGCTTCATATTTATGATCATAAAATTAACAGTAAATTGTTTATTAAAAAAAAAAGTAAGTAGTTATAGAAATAGTTCCTGACGGAATATATTCATTGCTGGCTACAAAATTTCTATTATCACCAATAGGAAAACCTTTCAATATACGTTTGTTCATTGTGAATTACATCTTTATTTTTAAGAAAGTTGATTTCTAGCATTTCAAGTAAACGTAATTTTTTGGTACAAAATTTGAAGTGTGATTGAACTATAGTCGTAGTCAGGATTCTGTAATGTCCGTCAAAATTCTTTACTCATTTAAATAAAATGTTAAATTCATTCTCTTAAATATCTTAATTTTTAAATTCAGTTGTATTAACACGACCAGCGCCTTTGAAACCATAGCTAGAACTGTAAACAGTGTCAGGTATGTTCTAGTTAATCCATCAAAGTGTATAAGAAAGTTAACTGTAAATTGTTTCAGAAAGCAATCTAACTATGCTAGCCATAGAGGTAGCAATGACAAGAATAACTTAACATAAGTGAGACTAAGAAGTCAGCTAAAGAAAATCGTTTTTAATTATTATTGGAAATAGTCTGGAAAGACTCAAATAAGACTAAAATGTTCAAATTAGAATTTAAATTGAAGATGGTTAGTTAATTATGAACGAAACATCTTACTGCCCAGTCATCTGCATAACCTGTCATGAAAATGGTGAATTCCGAAACTCATCGAACAACTGAGGCCTCTAATTGAACAACAACTTCGAACCCACGTATTCAATTAAGTATGCATAGGCTTTAGGCATATTTAAAGGCATTAGAAATGAACTGTTCCAACCACGTCCAACCATTCAAACCCATCTTCCAGTTGAAAAGATCTTTTGTAAATACAAGGTCCAAAAGATTTTCTATAATGCATCTTATCATCCACAAGCCAATCACACTGAACGTGTAAATCGCAGCATTGTTACTGCTCTTCGATCTTAGACCTACACTGATCATAGAGCTTGGGATCAGTATATTCATTCAGTCGCTCAAGCCATTCGAACTTCTGTTCATGAAGTCACTCAATGTTCTCCAGCTTATGTTAATTTTGGTAGGCATGTTCCTTTGTCAGGTGATTATTTTGGATTGATTTCTGAGAATTCAGCAACCCTTCCTCAAGTTTCGGAGAAACTTCATCGTATGGATGATCTCCAAAATTTACCTCCAATCTTGGCTGACATTAGGAAGAAGTGTGAAAACTTCTTACCTTAGAAATCAGAGTCAGTATAATTTGAGGAAACGAGACATGCTATTCTTTGTTGGCGATCGAGTATTGAAACGAAATTTTGTTATAGTCAAGTAAGGGTGATGCCATTTCTGCTAAGTTCTGCCAAAAATATATTCCCTGTACTGTCGTTCGAGTAATATCTCCTTTAGTCAATGAATTAAAAGACAATTCGATAAATAGACGAATTGGTCAATTTAATATAAAGGATTTACTTCCAGATAATACCGTAGATGACATAACATCCTCTTCCTCAGATGAAGATTAACTTAAGTTTGTCTAATAAAGTTAATCTACCATTTTGACTATTATTGTTTTGGCTCGGTTGTGGTTACGATGTGGTATTTTCTTTATTATTAATCACCAGATATTGTATATGTACAGCTTATTCCTTGCTTATTATTTGGTTATATAAGTTATTAATTATATAACCAAATAATGTTGATGATTAATGTGATTAGATATTCAGACGATACAGTAATTCGTTCGAGTTCAAGTAGAGCAAGTTGACAAAATGACATATTTGGAAACTATGATAAAGGACCAACTAGATCTAGACATAGAAATAAAACGTATAATAGCAATGACTAAAACTACTTTTATTAAAATGAAGTCATTTCTTTGCAATAATCACCTCAGTTTAAAACTAAGACAAATAATGGTTAAGTGCTTTGTTTGGTCCGTACTTTTGTAAATTGCAGAAGTGTGGACGCTAAAAGTATCGATTATGAACAAAATTGAAGCATTGGAAATGTGGGTTCATAGCTGAAGATACTGTTTACGAACATGCATTCAGCGTGGCCCGCCTAACGGTCGCATCTCGAAGCACCGAGAAGTTTCGGCGATATATCGAGCGCTGTAAAATTCCACCCGTCAAATAACGAATTAGAGGTGGGACTACTCCCGAATATTCTCGAACATAATACTTTGGTATATATATGTAACGAAATTAGGAGTTTATTTTAGTTGATAAGAGAATACCGAACTGTAAAGTTATAAATAAATATATTTATATAAATTCGAACCGCTCGTTTTATTTAAAAACGGTACAGTTGGTGTCCGGTGTGAGATTTGAAAATAAATGCAGCAGTGATTAAAAAAAAAAGACTTTTGAACTTTTGAAAAGTATTGTTCGTCGGGAACATCCGCGTACTTCGGTAGTGATCTTTGTACGAAAGAACATTTAAAAAAAGTACGTGTGTGCCTGACCAAAGATGCTGCTAGTAGAACTTTCAGTGAAACAGTTACGTGAGCAACTAGAAGAACGCGATGAAGACTGTAGCGGGTCCAAGAAGTTACTCCAAGAACGACTGAAAACTGTTCTCAACAAGAATGGAGACGACCCAGAGACATTCCAGTTCCAGTCGGCAGAAGAAGCCGTCTTAACTAAAATAATTGATGGAAAATTCGAGACTGTTTCCAAAAGATTCGATGAAACGTCTCAAATGATCAAAGAAACTTCAAAGGAAAAGATAGTTAATTTGAAAACGTCTCTCAAATAATTCAAAAAACTTCACAAATTATTAAAGAAACAGCTAGACAAAACGACGAGAAATTCGAAAATATGTCTAGAAGATTCGACGAAGTATGTATTCAGAACAGTGAGAATTTTGAAGAAGTCTCTAAAACATTCGATAAAGTAGAAGAAAAGATCAAACAGTTAGAGACCATGATAACTAACACAAAAATGCTACCACCAATTAATACGGTAGCTTTAGATCCGGTAGTGAAAGAAGAATCACCGAGAGATGAAACGACACATCATATGAGATTCAAATTGCCACCATTTGATGGAAAGTCCTTTTGGTCCATATACCTTAGACAATTTGAAGCTATTGCGACAGCCAATCATTAGACAGAACAAGAAAAAGCTGTTTTCTTGATTGCTGCTTTACGAGGTGATGCTGCAGATATCCTAAGATCGATTCCTAAGGGTCAAGAAAAATGTTACCAGACCTTGTTCACTCGACTAGACAAACGTTACGGAGATGCCCATCTACAACAAGTCTACAAAGCGCAACTAAGAAGTAAAACTCAACGAGCAAGTGAAAATTTGCAAGAGTTTGAAGCAGATGTTGCTCGTATAGTGCGGTTGGCTTATCCGGAGGTACCAGACAACATTTTGGAAGAAATTGCTGTAGATACCTTCGTCAATGGGTTAAAAGAAAGTGAATTACAGAAAGCTTTACGACTAACAAGACCGAAAGTTCTAGATGAAGTGCTCGCTATTGCCTTAGAACGTGAAACAGCTAGTCAAATTTCACGGAGCCACGAATAGACGATAAAAGTGGATATTGGCAAGTAGATATGGAGCCAGCTGATCGTGAGAAAACCGCATTCTCGATAGGATCAGGGCTTTGGCAGTTCACAGTTATGTTCTTTGGTTTATGTAATGCTCCGGCCACATTTGAAAGATTAATGGAGGCAGTTTTAAGAGGTCTAACATGGAAAACATGCCTGGTTTATTTGGATGATGTAATTGTAGTAGGAAGATCCTTCGACGAACATTCCAATAATTTGACAGAAGTCTTTCAACGATTGCAATAAATTTGAAGTTGAGTCCGAAGAAATGTCACTTGTTTCGACGAGAAGTGAAGTACTTGGGACATATTGTAGCAAGTAATGGTGTAACAGCTGATCCTGAAAAACTTGCAGCAATTAGGATTGGCCGGTACCAAGAGATAAACACGAAATTAGAAGTTTTCTTGGCCTATGTACATATTACCGACGTTTTGTCAAAGGTTTTGCCAACATCTCCAAGCCATTAACAAAGTTGACAGAAGAAGGCAAAGAATATACATGGAGCGAAGAATGTCAAAGAGCTTGCGAACACTTACAAATGGCTCTGATCAGCGCACCGATTTTAAGCTACCCTAGACAGGCAGGAAAATTTGTGTTGGATACCGATGCAAGCAACAGTGCAATAGGAGCTGTTCTCTCCCAAATCCAAGATGGGCAGGAGAAAGTCATCGCTTACTTTAGCAAAGTCTTGTCGAAACCAGAAAGAAACTATTGCGTTACCAGGAGAGAATTGCTAGGCGTAGTAAAGGCTTGCGAGCATTTCCATAAATACTTGTATGGCAGAAAGTTTCTTCTTCGCACGGATCACGCTGCTTTAAAATGGCTCCTACAATTCCGTAATCCAGGGACAGATGGCAAGATGGCTAGAACGATTACAAGAATATGATTACGAGATCGAACACAGGGCTGGAAGAGTTCATTAGATTCCGCATCCTAGGCCTATAGATAGAGTTCCAGATCGGGACGCTCAGATCTAAGAGGGGGAGACATGCATTCAGCGTAGCCCGTATAACAGTCGCATCTCGAAGCACCGAGAAGTTTCGGTGATATATCGAGCGCTGTAAAATTCCACCCGTCAAATAACGAATAAGAGGTGGGACTACTCCCGAATATTCTCGAACATAATACTTTGGTATATATATGTAATGAAATTAGGAGTTTAGTTTAGTTGAGAGAGAATACCGAACTGTAAAGTTATAAATAAATATATTTTATATAAATTCGAACCGCTCGTTTTATTTAAAAACGGTACAATACCTTGGACAGCTTAAAAAAACTAATGAAAAAGTACTAAGGAACGTCAACAAAGATGACTGCTAAAGAGGACATATAGTAAGGGAAGTCAATATAAAATATTACAACTGATCCTTAAAGGCAACATAGAGGGCCTAGAGGTGTAGGAAGATAACGAGTTT